ACCCCCAAACCTGCAGCGGCCCTGAGCCAGACTCCCATAATGGGGAGTGACTGGGAGGGGGAAGAAGCACTGAAGGTATGTAAATGGAGGAGGAATGAAGGAGGAATGCGTCCATTATTCTGTCTACTCTGGTGACCCCAGGTCTCTGGATCGGTCCTGGGGAGGAAATACATGCCCCTCACTTCTCTCAAAGCAGGGGGTGATCTGACTCCCTCACCAAGGTCTCCTCATGCTGACCACTCACCTCTGACCCCTGGGAGGGCTCCTGACTCTCCCTCCCAGGGACTAACACCCCACTGCTCCTCGAGGCCATGTTTCCAATCACTGGGCATGGGTAGTTTTCAAACTTTAAAAAAAAAAAATTCATTGATTTATGCATACAGAACTGGGGTACAGGCCAGAGGTGCAGAGGATTCATCAGAGTCAGACACTCGGAGGAGAGTCTCCTGGAGGAGAGACCCTTGGGTAAGAGGCGAGTGCAGTGTTGGCAGAGATAACGGTGGCCATGACCTCGGTCTTTGGTGGGTGATATGATACATTCTGCATTTCAGGTTTCTCCTGCTGTCTGAGCTCTCTGGGACCTGCCTAACCCTTTGCTTGGTTTCCTTCCAGAAGGTAGCTTAGACTGTGCAAACTTCCAGGCCTCAGCCGCGCAGGTGTGAGCCAAGCCTGCTTGGCTGGTACCGACCCTAAGACATGGGTAATTTTTCAGAGTGATTGGAAATCTGTTATTTGAAGTCCTCCCCTCTCTTTTACCTCTCTTTTCACATTAGTAAAAGCTCTTTCACACTACAAAAACAATTTTAACTCGATGAGGTGGTAGAGGAACACGCCTAAGCTATATAGCAGCCTAGACAATAAGGGTCCAGAATGGAACAGCCCTGGGAAAATCCTGACCTGGAGGCAGTACAGCCCTTTGATTCTCTATTTGCTTATTTGTAACAATGTGCTATAAATGCTGGAAGAGTTTCTCAGAAATGGCAGAACAACCAGAAAGCATTGCCCTAGCTCTTGATAAAAGAGAACTGAAGAAAAGGGGACTGGCAAGAATGAAACATGGATTCTCTGAATTTGGAGATTTCTTACACACATATAACTTAGCTTCTGCAAATGTCCAGGACACAGGACATTTAGTGCAGGGACAAAGAGCCTCCACCAGGCACTCTATCCTGCTCTCCCCAAATGTGACTTGCTCAATATCCCTTAATTCTCTCTGCAATTCATCCATTTGTCCCTTGCTCTGCAGGCACACAGAGCAAGCAGCCACCTCCCGCGTGGAACAGATCTTCCAGTATTTGCATATTTTTATGGACTTCATTCCTGCCCACCCACTCGTGTTTCCACTAAGCCAGTAGCAGTCCAACTTCAGCATACATGGACGTCTGGAGGGCTCCTTTAAACACAGCTGCGGGGTGACTCAGCAAGTTTGGGCAAGATCTAAGAATTTGCATTTCTGACAAGAATACAGATGCATGAGAAGCCAGCTCTGAGAATCACTGCTCTAAGTAAACAGCTCCCATTCCTTCTGTGGTCAGCTGATGTATTCACAGCACTCATCCTCATCATGACCTCGCTTGGAGAGTAAGTGCTTTCAACTCCCAGAGCAGCAGCTGTAAACTAAAAACATCAGGAAAGTAAACCATCCTCTCTGCCCCTCTTCATCTTGAGAATGGCCTCTCTCCCACTCTTGTTTGGTCTTTTCTCTGCCCCACATAGTCCTGGGTCCCTGGGAAGGCGTCTGGCCACAGTACTGCCCAGAAAGGCCTCCAGGTGGCGCTTTAAGCTAATCTGTGGCTGTTTGTCGGTTTGAAGGTGTCGAAGCTGACCTACCTTAGATGAACAGGTAAGGTCCAGAAAAGGCGCCGATAGGTCCAGATTACCCTGGCTTCGATCCCAGCCCCCCAGAGAAGCAGTTCCAGATCAGTCTTGAATGTGAACAGTCCTCTTCCCTGGAACTCCCCTGGCAAGTTGTGTCTTTTAAGGACAGCCTTTGGGTTTAAGTTAATATAACCCAGCTCCAGCTTGGCACATAAAAACACAGGATGATCAGTTAGTCCAGTTTAAAATACTGAACTTCAGATAACGATGTTGTATTTTTTTAGCCCAGATATGTCTCAAACGGTGTCTGTGGCACACAGGGCTGTAGGTTTAGGGTCACCCGCGCTCTGAGGCACGCTGAGGGTGGCGTGCTCAGTGCTGAACAGATGAACTGGGGCAGCTCCTGCATTCAGGGATTAATCTGGGGAAAGACACGGACAAAAAATACAGGAAAGGGGGGGTGAGAAGTGTGGGGTACAGGAAGAAGGTGGTTTTGGTGTAGGCTTTAGACTCAGAGCCCACTTCTGATGCCCACTATCTGTGGAATCATAAGCAAATTCATGACCCTCTCTGGGCCTCTGTTGCTTATTGTGAAAATGGGAATGAAACAAATTCATGAGGTGACCAGGAGTTGTAGGAAATGGCTGTAGGTGGAGCTCACTGGGTGTTCCTGTCCCATGGCAAAGAAGCAGCACTGAGAGTATTTCGTCTTTCAACTCCAAGTGCCAAGGTCCAGTGCACTTACTTGACTAGAATGCAACTTCATTTCTGAAATGCAAATAATAGCAGCTACTGTGTATCTGGCTGCCCCCAGCTCGCCAGGCATTGTCCTGAGCCCGATAAACACCATCCCGTTGAATCCTTATATTGTCCATTATCATCCCCACTTTGCAGATGATGAAACTGAGTTCATGTGCTTGTTGGAGAGTAGTAGAAGGGACGTTGGCATTGCAGCTCGAGTCCGGGCAGCTCCCTCTGTCTTCGCTGCCTTTGCACAAATGGGTCATTTGCATTGGTGACCCAGTGAAGACACCCACGGCTCCCCCGACCCCCTCCCAGAGCAGGAACCACTGCGAACCGCGAAGGGTGAAAGGGAAGAGTCCCAGGCTCAGCCACTCTAGAGCTGCTGTTCATTCTGGGCACCAGAGGCTCTCGGAGCCCGTTGATATTTGCAGATATGTTCCTAGATACTGTAACATCGTATAACTGAAGGGGAAACCGAGTGACCCCTTGACCACTTACTGGGTGTTTACTGTGTGTTGGGCACAGCTAAGCCTTTTCCACGCATTATCACATTTAACCGTCACAACAGGTGAGGCGCAGCTAGCTCGTCCAGCCACGGTTCATGTGAGTCGAGCAGGGAAGGGCTACATTCCCTCTTCGTAAGAGCTCCTCACTCCCAACCATGATTAAAATTACTCCTTTGGCAAAACGACCTACTGCTCACATGGGCCCCTTGTACATTTCCAAAGCCATGTCAAGGGTTTCCTGTTTGTGGCCATCGGTCCTGTTTGGGTGTCCTGTTCTACTTTCAGCTTGTTTCGAATGAATAATGAACAGTGTCGGTAACAGTTTCCAGGCTGGCAGCTTCTCTCTTCCTCCACCTCAGAACAAGGCCAGGGGCCCGACATGTCCCTACCTACAATCTAGACCCCTGCGAGCCAGAGGTAACCCACTCTCTGACATCCCCCCCCCCGCGTGGCACCCACGGCCACCCTGTTCCCTCTCCTGACCCCTCAATTTGTCCTGGGGATACGGAATCCTTTTTATTTTTCCTGTTAAGGAATTCTTTGTTTGTACATACAAGAACTGGGATATAAGCTAGAGGTGTGGGTGGTAAGAGGATTCACCAGGGCCAGTTTGGGGAGCAGAACAGGCAGATTGACTGAAATACGCTGCTGAGGGGAGCAGCGGGTGAGACAGGAGAGGTCTGCTGCGCCAGGTGGTCAGCTCCCTGGGGATTGAACTTGTGCAGTTGTGGCTGCGGATAGCTTCATAGCGCAGTGCTTTGGCGCGTTGTACCACCAAGGAGGGCCCAAGGAATCCTCTTTCCAGCAGTTGCCTTGGATAAGAAGGAAGGGTCTTGACTCGGCATACACTATATCCTTGTCTTTTCTTACTCTATTTGTAATTGGTTACCTTCTCCTCCCTGAGAGAGTGCACTCAGTGCCTGGATACCAATAGTTTTGTGGTGAAATCTCTAAGGGAGAGTTCTAGCAATAGCAGTAGTACTTAAAGGTTGAATGTGTGTAAAGATAGTAAGGAAAATGCTGATTGAGGCAGTAAGGTCAGGGAAAGCAAGGAAGAATGGATATCTTTCTATTCACTTGATTCAGTCAAACACTTATGGGAACTCTGCTATGTGTCAGTCTGTGCTAGATGCTGAGAAAGTTGATGAAAAAGACAGAATTCCTGTCCACAATGGGCCATAAAGCATGGTAGAGAAAGCAAGCGTGTAGACTAAGGACAGTAGGGTAGGGTATGTATAATAAAGGAAGTGTGTGTGTAAGGCTGGCACAGAGTGCAGAGAGGTGTCCTCAAGACATCAGCAGGAGACAAGTCTGAACAAAAGAGAGCCCGGAGTGAGCTGCACAAAGAGAACCAAGATGATGGATTCACAAAGGGGTTGAAGAGAGTGGAACCCAGAAGACAAGGATATAGACATGGTCAGAAAGAAGAGAGATCCAGAGAAGCGGGAGAAGGCGTCAACAAGAGCAGACTTACAAGCATTCAGGAACAACAGTGAGCAAATCAAGGAGGAAGCTTGTCATGAGGAGGGGTAATCTCAGTCAGCCGGTGGGCAAGATGAAGAAGCAAGAACTGTTTACAAATATATTGGGAGATAGAGTAGGCTGATAAATACTCACATGATCATTGTGTAGGCAATTTTGTTAGTTCGATTTAGGGGTGAAGGCATAGACTTCCTGATAGTAGACGGGTAGAGGAAAACCGAATCTGGGAAGTAGAGTAACAGGCTTGATGGAAAGCCATAAACTAAGACAGGCGATAAAACCCAGCCTTAGCTCTTTCACGCTACTGAAAGAAACAAAATATTCTCCACTTTTACCGCCGCCATGAGACATAAGAATCCTTCATCTGGCTATTATGGTATCAAGTGTAAATGGTAGTTCCTTCTGTGATTAGTTAGACGGGGTGCAGGAATTGTTACCCTGTTGCTAAGGAAAAAGGAAGGGGCTGTTCCCAGTTGCCATGGTGACAAGGTAAGAGCGTTCCCTCGGTACCGCCGTAAATTTACGAGACGGTTTCGTCTCCTCGCTGCTATGGCAACTTGGAGGGACTGTTCTGGTCGCCCCCCGCCTCCCGCCGCCGTTGCTACGACAAGGTGGAGGTAGGGGCTGTCCTTCCCTCGCCGCCCAGTTGCCTTGGAGACGGCGGGCGCCCTGGCCCCGCCCCTCTCGGACTGACAGCAGAGGCCGCATCGCGCCTGCGCAGTGCTCTCTTCCCCCGCAGTCTCTGTGCGTTGAAGCCGGAGACCGCGACGGCCTCTGCTAGGACCCTCCGCCCCGGAGCCGCCGGCCGGAGCCGCAGCGTCCGCCGCAGCGCCCCCGCCGCCCGTCCCCTCCCCCGCCGCCTCCGCCGGAGCAGCCTCGCGCACTGTGAGTCCGGACCGAGGCGACGGACGCCGTGGGGCTGAGTCAGCGGGAGGCCCGGGCCCGGGCTGGGGGAGGGGAACCGGGCTCCCCCCTCGCCTCCCCACCGGCGCCCCCGCCCCAACCGCGTCTCCCCAGCCCGCCTCCCTCCCTTCATCCCGGTCTCCGGGACGCCGGGCGGCCTCAGCCATCAGGCCTCCGCGAGCCACTCCCCCTCCCCTAGCCTCCCTCCAGACCCACTCGGGGTCCTTCCCCAAATATGCGGCGCTACCTCACCCCCTCCCTGTACTGACCCCCCACACACACACCTGAAACTGCCTCCCGTCCTCACGAGTCCCTTCTCCCGACTCCTCTTGGGCCTGACATCTCCCGGCCTCTCGGGTGTCCCCAGTGAGAAGCCAGGAAGAGTGACAAGAGAGAACGAGGGGAGCCTTGGGAGAGGGATGGGGACATTTTGCTTGCCCAAACCTTGGGGCCTCAGATTTCTTCCCCACGCGCTCCTGCCCTGGCGGGTGCGCACGGGAAGCAGATCTGGACAGTTCTAACTGGCAGCTGAGAGCTGGGGGGGGGGCTTTCAGAATAGATTTTGCTGAGGGTTCAAGCCCGTCGTGATCAGCTACTGTCGAGTGGACACGACTAGTGCTCGCGCGTGGCCTTCTGGTGGCTGGGCTATTGGCCTGGCAGGTACTGTGCAGAACAGTGGAGACAGTGGAAGGAGAGGAGAAAAGGTTGCGTTTAGGAGCTGAAGTTCCTGCGCTTCCGGTGTGTTGTTGAGCGTGAGCGTCTGCAGTACTCTTTAAATGCATTTTTCCCCTCCGTAATCCCTGGTATGACTTGAGATTTTAAACCCTAGCCAGTGTTAAAGGTTTATGTGTGGAGGGTTGTGACTGGACTTGATCTGTAATACCTGTCAATTCCATGTGGTAACCAGCTGGTGAGAGTGAGTTTTAACATAACATGTGCAAAGTAGAGAGGAAGAGGAATTGCGCCTTCTCCACGGTGTAGGTCTGAGGCCCGTATCCCCTGTCTCTTGCAGCTGCGAGGCTTTGTGGGGGGTGGCATATTTGGACAATTCCTGGGTTATGCTTGCTGCCCATCCACCTGCCCATCTTGCATTCTCTGATCTTGAAATAGTGGAAGATCCCAAACTGTTTTCTTTGTCCAATAGAAATCGAACTAAAGTCAGAGCTGGTGCCCACAGCCAGAAGCTATCTCTTAATAAACGTGCCTCAACTCGAGAGCTTCTAACTACTGTGTGTACCTAATGCCAACTACCATTTTTTCCCCCTGAGGCTTGCAGATCTCAGTATACCACAGGAAATATCTGAATATGCATAAATACCAGCAAGTTTAACTATGGAAAGAGGCTTTGGGTTTTTTACTCCAGTTGCGAAAGGAATGGATAGTTCGTTTCAAAAATCATAGTGAAGTAACTACCAACTTGGAGTTTCTGCAATTGCAAACTGAGACATAATGATTCCACTCCTCACAATGCTCACTCATGGCCTACTGGCGGCCTCCTCTGAGCCACTCCCCACCCCCATGCCCATCAGATTAGTTTACAGTACCAAAGACGGCTGTCGCCCTAGTTTTAAACATAGAGATGAAGTTCAGGAAAACTGCAGCCCCATGCAACAGTGCAGTTTCTTCTGTTTTGCATGCCAGTCTAGGGTTTGGCGGATGCACCTGCCTGTGGAGCAGTGGGCGCAGTAGGGCCTGAGAATTACATTCCTTCCGTGTGGTCCTCCTGCCGCATAGCTCACCGAAATACCCGAGCAGGGCAGGAGCAGACAGCTGTGTGGAGAGTGCTCCTCCTGGGTCGAGGGTATTTTGGGAATCAGTGATATTACTGGGGTGGAGAGTTGTGAATAAGAAGCAAGAAAATGTGTCAAGGCTAGATAGATCAGGAGGGTGTGAGTAAAATGTTCCCTTTCCAGTTTGCTGTGGGGTAGCACATTTGCAGAGCATCACAATGGCGTTCATATGGGTTAAAATGCCTTTGAAATCCATGACAGTGTTTTATGAGCTAATGATGGAGTCTCGCCCTTTAAACTGCTCCGATTGGAAACAGAACGAGTATCTTTACCTTCTACACTGCCTCCAACTGTTACTCTGTAATTGTACCATTGGGGAGAGGGGCATGATTTGAGCCAAGTTAGAGCTGGGTCTCTGTAGCCTATGTCCTGGTTTTATAGCACTGTCCTGCCTTGATTCTGAGACACACCAGCAACTGACCAACAGCTTTGAGGTAAACATAATTTGGCACTGCTAAATCAAAGTATATAGGTTCATTTTCTAAGATGCATCCTAATTTCAGAAACACCAAGACAACCAGGAAGTGGCAATGCTGAAATAGGGAGCTGTTTGTCTTAGAACCGAGAAAGGATGATATTTCTGGTAGTGCTGGGTGTGTGAATGAATTACTGCCCTGCCAGCGTGACAGTGCTTGCATTATGAGGACAGATTTCTTCAAGTCCGTCCCCAAGCCAGCCTGCTTTGCAGGGTTATGTTTGTAAGACGATTGACTGTAGTAAGGCATGTAGTTGGCTATTGAACAGAGGGAAGTTCATACCCACCCAAGGCCTTAATCTGGTACCCTTTGGAAACTGAACCAACTGGCTGGCAGCAAGAACCTTATGGGCCCTATCTGAATTTGGTCAAGTAACATCTTTCGGAAGCTGAACAAACAACATAATTTTTCTAAGTCAGAATAATGCATCTGTCCTGTTTTGTTTACAGACACATTTGTAAAGACCCCAAGGCACATGTTAAAGCGGAAGGGATTTCAGATGGTATAGTTCAGTGTCCTCGTTTCCAGATTCTGACATGAGACACCATGAGACTTGCCTGAGGCCACCCAACTAATGTAGAAAGTATGTGAAAACACTCTGTAAACTGCATACACCGTACAAATGCAAATGAATGCTGGTGGTTATCCGTGGCTCAGTCAAGATTGGAACCCAGATTTCCAGACGAGAGCTGGTATTGTATTCTACAATGCCACATTGCCTCATCTCTCATGTTTAGTATTCCAGAGGGTTTTAATAAAAATAATTTAGTAGTCTTTAATTAGCCCTGTAGACAAGGACTTGTTTTATTGTCTGAGATGTTGCAAAGCCAGGCAAAATTTCGTGTCACACTGTCTAATTAAATGTTGATTCTTGCCACCTAAAAAATAATTTTTCCTCACACATTCTGAATTCAGAAAGGTTTTTCTTTTTTTTTTTTAATTTGCATCATCTAACATAAAGCAAATGCAGAGATAGGTGTTTAAAGTCTTATCTGTGAGGCTGCTGCTTTCCAGAAATTAAAGTAGAAGGGGCTTCAGGGGCCGAGAGGAGGAAGGCAGCCCTTAGGCAGCCCTTGGGCGGCCACCGGATCAGCCTCCAGCTCCCAGAGCACGGCTCCCAAAGGTGCCTGCACGTTCTGGCTTATGCTCCCTAACCTTGAGAAAGTGGCCCCTGGAAGCCGATAAACATTCTAGTCTTGCCATTTCCTGGCCATGTGACCTTGTGCCACTTCTAGAGAACCTGTGAGTACCAGTTTCCTCACTTGCAAGTCTGGAATGAGAGCTGTTTGTTTTGCAGGGTGATGATGAGGATTAAGCGAAAAGTAGGAAGTGCCTGCCTGCTGAAGAAATGGCCATCATTTTTTATATTTCTGAAATATAGAATTTTAAAATGCTTTTAATTTTTTTATGATGATTTACATCCATCGTGGACCCTCAGTTCAGCAGCTTCTCCCCACTCACCCCCAGCCCCACCCCCACCCACAGCCCTCTTGGTATATTTGACATGCACAAAGAGATTTGTCCTATGAAGCCCTGGCACTTGCAGTATTATTTCAACTGCCAAAATAGAAGTATATGAAATGCCCCTTTGTCTCCATGTATTCAGCTGACCTGGTTAAATGAAAGACGGCGGGGGGGGGGGGGCAGGAACAGTTGACTAAGAGTGCACAGACTTGGTATGTTTGAGTGTGTCGTGGGGGCAGTTAGGCTCCACCGGGGTGGCCAGTCCTGGGGATGGAAAGCTGCCCCACTGTCCCTGTGGAAGCCCACGTGGCCTTCATTCGCTTCTCTACTGTTGTCGGTGACTTTGCTCAGATCAGCTTCTGGTAGCAAGGTCTGGAGCCCAGGGAAAGGAGCCATCCATCCTAAGAGGGAAATTTCGTTTGTGAGGAGAGGGACATGCCGGTCATTTTGCATGGAAACAGTTCCAGAGAGTGTCAAGGCAGAGACTCTCGATTAATTAGGAAGTCAGGGCAAGCCATTCAGGAGGGAAAACACAAATGAACTTAGCTTCCTGTAAATTTCATTCAGGAAGAAAATGCCCCTGTATGAGCAGCTGTGGACTGAAAAGAGAAATGGAGTAGTCTTCACCTCTGGGAAGTAGGCTTTGGAATTGGAAGAGGGAAAAGGAGACTCAAAGGTGAACATTTCCTTTCTATGCATCTGCAGACAAATTATCATAATAAGAAGCATGCATGTATTTGTCATTTAATCAAGACCAGTTTTTCAGTAAATGCATTTGGTACAAAGGAAACCATTGCCTTTACTTGAAGTCAGTGCATGGGTCAGATAGGGCTACGTCTGCCCTCCAGCAGGCTGTCAGTTTGTACCAAACCAGCAGGCTCTTATGAGCAGGCAGGACCCTCCAAAGTGCCTGCTTCCCTGGCAGCCCCCCGGGGCTTCCCTGACCTCTTCCTAGTCTTTTCATTCCTGCCTTGAGGATAGCCCCTTCCTTCTCTTGACCAGTTGAGATAATCATTACTATTCTAAGAAACTAATTTAATTTCCCGCTATTGACAAAAATGACTCCTGACCATATGACCTTTATGAAAACTCCTTGTCCTTTACTTAACATCAGGAGAGCTTGAAGCTTAAAGGAGACCCAGCTGAAATGCTGACAACTCCCCTGTCATAGCTGCACTTTAGATCAGATCTGGCCGATAGAGCGATAGGGCGTACGTCCCACAGCCGTTTAGTAACTGCTGCTCATAGGAGC